TGTGGAGGGTCAATTATCAGATTGGGAGAGATACAAGAAGTGGAGAGAACTGTATGGGAACTGAATGGACTCTGAACACATGGAATGGACTTTCTCCCCACGGACTGACTGTCATTTTCCCCAGTTTTACTGTGTTATTTGTTCTTACTGTTGTACCCCTGTTCGTCGCTGGCTTTTATGAAATTTTAATGTACCCTCCATTTTGTCCCTTCTTCTCCCTCAGGTTTTCCCGCCTTAAGTTGTTTCCCTCCTTGTTCTCCCCTGCTTTCCCGCTCCTCTGCTGCTGATTGGCTACAGTTTGCCGCAGTGCAGAGTGAGCTCTCATTGGCCCTTTCCCCTAGATACTCCAAGGTTACACCTACCTCTCCCTTACCCTCCAATCACTGTTTTCCCTGGGTTGTCAATCCCATGCTCCTCCCCAGTTCTAAGTCCTCCCCTCTGACCTACCCTATTTAAGTCCCTGTTTTCCCTGAATAAAGTGGCATTGCTTCCCCGACCTTCAACTGTGTCCTGACCCTTATTCGCAGTGCCGCGTCCCAATCCCCTTTACCCTTCGGGCCGTGGCAAGTGGCGCCCAACGTGGGGCACAGTTGGAGGTCCCTCATATTGAGGAAACTCCTGTGCCTCCACTCGGGCTCAGGCGACGCCGGAGAGGTGATCGTCCCGCCGGTCCCCCCAGCTGGACGGACGACTGTGGGCTGCAGAGCTGCACGGGTCGACGCACCGGAGAAGGTGAGCAGCTGGGGACATTCCACACCTACCCCAACACCAACATCCCCACATTTTTAACAAAAAGGGAGGATTTCCATAACACCGAAAATGGGACTTACACTGTCCACCTCCCAGAAATTCGTATACAGGCGTCTTAAAGACTTTATCATTGAGCACGGTCACCCCTTGGATAAGAAATCCGCCAAGGCACTCGCCAAATGGCTGGACAGTAAAAATCACAAATTAACAGACGACACCACAGCCGAAGAATGGCAGGCGATAGGCTACAGCCTATGGCGTGATAATGAAAAGGGGGACCGAAAGGCAAAACAAGCTCTCATTGCCTGGAGGCTAGTTCTGATGGTGCTACAGCACCAGATGATGAACGAGAACAGCAGCCTCCATGTACCGGCCACCAAACGAGAAAAAACAACTGCGTCACACCAACTGAAACACTCACAAGATGGCGGGAGGGAGAAGACAACATCACGGCGAACACAAAATGGCGGCGAGGAAGAGGGAGACGGGAGACGCGCGGGACGGAGGCGGGAAAAATCCTCGCGGGAATCAGCAGCGCGGGAAAAGAGGGGGCGGGCCCTTGTAGCACCACCCTCCAGACCACCTCCACCCCCTCCTGCGCGCGTCAGAGACCCCTCCCATGAGTTGCCCACGTGTTCGTCCACTCCCTCCAGCACCACCTCCTCCCCTGAGAGGTCACCTTCTGGGGGAGAGAGGGAGGCGAGGGGCGGGGCTAGGCCAAAGGTCAAAGCCGGTTTCCGGCAACATGGCCGCGCCCATAGGGCCCGTAACACCAAGGCCTACCCCGCCTGCCGCTACACCGACACCGACTCTGACAATGACAGGAACCGAGTCCAACATTCCCCTGAGAGGCACAGTGATATGCCCAATATATGGAAGCCTTTCAGGGAGGAAGCCGCTCAGGCTAATGACACAGAATTCCTAAAAGCCTTTCCGATATTTTTGGAAGAGGGGAAAGCTCCGGAATGGAGACCGATCTCGTATCCCATGTTGAAAGATATTAAAAAAGCTATGGTAGAGTATGGCCTGGGAGCGCCATACACGATCGGTCTCCTGGAGTCCTTCTTCCTTGCATACTTGCTGATTCCATACGATATAAGAGCTGTTATTAATGGTCTTTTTACCACCATCCAGTCCTCAGTATTTGAGGCTGAATGGAAGAAACTAATTGTAACCTACGTAAATGAAAAAATGGAGAGAAGGGGTATCCCTGTGCGGCAGGCAATAGACATGCTCTATGGTGAGGGAAGCTACTCAACCAGAGGGGATCAATCCCGAATTGAACCCAAATTTTTAGAAATCACTAAAGAATTGGCATTAGAAGCAGTAAAAAGGGTGGCGGACGCATACGTCCAAACACCCTCCTTCACCCTCATTAATCAAGGCCCAAAAGAACCGTTTATTGATTTTATAACCAGGCTAAAAGAAGCGATTAAGAGACAAGTCAATCAAAAGGAAAGTCAAGAAATTCTATTTGATAAATTGGTTATTGAAAAAGCTAACGAAGATTGCCAAAAGGCACTAAAAATGCTGAAAAATCCCTCTCTGGTTGAGATGATAGAAGCCTGTAAAAACATCGGCTCCAACTCCCATAAAGCGCGTCTATTGGCTGCCGCCTTTACTGGACCCCAAACATGTTTTAATTGCGGCCAAAAAGGTCATTTTAAGAAACACTGCCCCAAAATTAATTCTGAACCTAACCTATCAAACGTACCCAAATCCCTCTGCCGGAGGTGTGGGAAGGGTTTTCACTGGTCATCGGCCTGTAGGTCGGTGACCAACATAAACGGTGAACCCCTTCCCCCCAGAAAATCTCCCAACATTAAAAGGAAAGTCACCTTTAGCTCCCTGCCCGACCTACGTCAATGCTCTTGTGAGCATTCGGGAAACGGGGAGCAGAGCGCTCAGGGGGGCGCGAAGACACAAATAACCCCTCAACCACACCCCATCTTGCGCCAAACACCGCGCCCATTCACCCCATAACTGGGAAACCTCCGGCAGAACATAACCCTCCTCAAAATCAATGTACCCCCCTAAATTGGATAACCCTTACCGTTACTCATCCATTACCCTTATTAAATCAATGTGAACAGATAATTAAAGTTACACCATCTGCAGAAATAGACTCAGACACTATATATTTGATAGTCTCTCATCTTTCGGCTGTGGCAAGGGGCATTTTTGTAACTCCCACACTCCTGACAGGGTTGACGAACTCCAACATCGCCATCTGTCTAACTGTCCACCTTCCACCTTTACAGCTGGAGGACTGCTTCCCAGTGGCCAAGATGATCCCCACGGATGATCTTCTTTGTGCGGTGTCGTGGGAAGAAGAACGGGGAGATAACTCACTGATGGAAGCCCACTGGGCAACCACAGTGAGGGCCTCTCGACCACTACTAACGTGTCGTGTTCTCTTCCCCCTGTCTAGACACCCACAGAGGGTGACGGTGGAGGGTCTTTTGGACACGGGAGCAGACGTTACCATCATCGCCTCCAAGGACTGGCCACCCAGTTGGCCAGCCCACACGACAGATACAAGGGTCCGAGGTGTGGGAGGAGTCCAACACCCTGTCAGGAGTCGGGAAATGGTAACAGCATACGGGCCAGAGGACAGACCTGCAACTCTACAACCGTATGTACTAAACATACCCGTTACATTATGGGGAAGAGACGCCATGGAACAGTGGCAACTGACACTTGGGACCGAGGAAAATTTTTAGGAGGGGTCACTGAACAAGTGCAGCTGCCCAAACTGATCTGGAAAACAGAAACACCAGTTTGGGTAGATCAGTGGCCCCTTCCCAGACAAAAGCTGCAAATTCTAAATGACCTGGTTAATCAAGAATTGGCTAAAGGACACCTGGAGCCTTCCACCAGTCCCTGGAACACTCCAGTGTTCGTCATCAAAAAGTCCTCAGGTTCCTGGAGATTTCTCCAGGATCTGCGCAAAGTAAATGAAGTCCTCGAGCCAATGGGAGCCCTCCAGCAGGGAATGCCTTCACCATCTATGCTCCCCGCTGAATGGCCCCTGGTGGTGATTGATATTAAGGACTGCTTTTTTCATATATATCTAAATCCGGCTGATTCGGCAAAATTCGCATTTTCGGTCCCTGCCATCAACGCCTGTGAACCCCACCGCAGGTTCCAGTGGAAAGTGCTTCCTCAGGGGATGAAAAATTCTCCAACACTTTGCCAGATGTTTGTGGCAAAGGTGTTGGAACCAATTAGAAAGAAATTTCCGCAATCAATCATCTTCCATTACATGGATGATGTGTTGATCTGCGCAAAAACTAAACTGTCAGTCAGACGAACATTAGACGCTACAATTATGGCCCTAAATTCAAATGGATTGGAAATATCCCCTGAAAAAATACAAAGAGAAGCACCTTGGAGGTACCTCGGACTCCAAATTAACACAAAAACGATAAAACCTCAATCCGTAGAAATTGACAAAAAAGTCCGAACCTTAAACGACCTCCAAAAGCTACTGGGAGCGATCAATTGGATCAGACCTGTGCTGGGGATCACAACCGGTGATCTGCACCCACTGTTCGAACTTCTCAAAGGAGATGCAGATCTGTCCTCCCCCAGATTTTTAACATCTGACGCCAGAAAGGCCCTTACCACAGTCGAAACAAAGATATCCGAGAGACAAACAAGTCGCAGGATGGAGGGACTGCCATCCTCACTAGTCATCATCAGAGAAAAACATCAACCACTAGCGATTTTGGGACAATTTACAACGGGTGGAAAAGACTTCTGTCTGTGGGAGTGGTTGTTCCTCCCCCACCAATTTTCCAAAACGATCGTAACATTGGCAGAAATGATTGGCAAACTGATCTTCAAAGGACGCACCAGGTGTTTAGAACTCAGTGGAGAGGAACCAAATCACATCTACCTCCCATTGACTTCTGAACACCTGGAACAACTGCTGCAAAATTCTACGGACTTCCAAATCGCCATCGGAGGTTACCCGGGAGAAGTCAAATTTCACCTCCCGGCGTGCCCGTTTTTGCAAAGATTAATCCCAATTTCATTAAAACTAAAAGTTATGCAATCAGACCTACCAATTAAAAATGCAAAAACCATTTTTACCGATGGCTCAGGGAGAACCGGAAACGCAGTAATTGTCTGGAAACAAAAAGATAATTGGCACCAAGATATTCACAAAGTACAAGGTTCTCCACAAATTGTAGAATTATCAGCAGTTGTTCGCGCCTTTCAAATTTTTGATAAAGAACCTATTAATATCGTTTCGGATTCGGCATACGTTGTGGGCATTGTCAAAAGGATTGAAAATTCGTATCTAAAAGAAGTATCTAATGAAAAATTATCTAATTTGTTAAAAAAATTGTTGTTTCTAATTGATATTAGGGAATTCAGATATTATATTGTCCACACGAGGTCCCATACTACTCTACCAGGTCCTGTAGCTGAGGGAAACCAGATCGCCGACCATCTGGCAGGTATGGTGGTTACCCCAAATTTGTACCAACAAGCGAAAATTTCGCATGAATTTTTTCACCAGAATGCGCGATCGCTGAAAAAACAATTTGGCCTCAAATTAACTCAAGCAAAAGAAATACTAAAGGCTTGTCCTGATTGCCAAAAAATTGCCCCACTGGTTCCAGAGGGGACAAATCCCAGGGGGCTGTCAGCACTAGAAATTTGGCAATCTGATGTTACGCACATACCAGAATTTGGCAAATTAAAGTATGTTCATGTGTCTGTGGACACGTTCTCAAAAATGATTGTAGCCACCGCGCATTCTGGGGAAAAAAGCAGAGATGTTAAAAAACACTTCCTGTCTGCTTTTGCTAGGATGGGAGTCCCCAAACAAATTAAAACCGATAATGGACCATCCTATGTATCTGCAGACACGAAGAAGTTTTTTGATGATTGGGGAATTCACCATACCACTGGAATTCCTCACAACCCCACGGGACAGGGTATAGTAGAGCGGGCCCACCAAAACATCAAAAATTTACTAAATAAACAAAAGAGGGGGAGTATTGGCCTAACTCCCCAAGAAAGATTAGAAAAAGTTATGTATGTATTAAATTTTTTAAATTTAACAGAGGAACAAGAAACTCACACAGACAGAAGTCCCATAGACAAGCACTTTAAATCAGAAGATATGTTAATTAAGCAGAAAGCAAAAATCATGTATAAAGATGTAATAACAGAATCGTGGACGGGCCCTTTCTCCCTAATCACATGGGGGAAAGGGTACGCATGTATTGCAGGACCAACAGGACCAAAGTGGGTCCCAACTCGGCGAATAAAGATATATCAAGAGCGAGACGCAGCATGTGGACCGTCTACCTCTCCACTCTCTTCACCATCACCCTAAGTTTCATCGATACCTCCACATCATTCCCTCTAAAGAACTGGATGAACCAACCTAATGAAAATCTATGGGTAACGTTGGCGAAAGCTACGGGAACAGACACTCTGTGTCTGGCCCAGTCGGGCGCTGGCAACCCTTTTCAGACCTGTCTCGTAGGGGTCCCTATTTCTTCTACTAACGATTGGAATGCATTTTTACCGCTCACCCGAATTACAGACCCTCTTCCTTTCACTTCCGCTACTCTTGCTCAAGCTGTCTCTCGCACCCATCTTTCTTTTGACCCTCCTCAAGAAATCGACCTTTTCGGTTCGGTCCCTACTAACACCTGCATCATGTTTCACCGCTACACAGAACCCAAATTGTTTACCCCGTTTAATGTCTCTGCTAATAAGCCCATCTATCGCGAGCTTCCTTCTTCCTGGTGCAACCACTCCGTGATCACTGCGGTGACCACGGAGACAATACCGAGGTGGAGAAAACTCCCCCAAGGGTTTTTCCTCCTGTGCGGGGACCGGGCTTGGCAGGGAATTCCTGCATATCCAGAAGGCGGACCTTGCACAGTAGGAAAACTTGCCCTTTTTAATCCAGCTAAATTTCAACTCCCAGACTCCTCCCCGCAAGATCAGGCTCCAAATTCTCTTTCGTCAACAATTAGCAGAACCAAAAGGACATTTGTCCTGTATGAACGTCCAGTCCTCCCAAAACCTCGTCCTACACCTCCCAAACCCCCAGTACCTCTCGCCGCTCCGGCCCCCAAAACTCCTCCTCTTCTTGTTCCACCCTCTTGGACCGCTCCACCACCCTTGCCATTCCCTGCAGACTGTGATTCCAACATTAACATTTGGCCTAAAATAAAAAATTACTGGGCTTCCTTTGGTGTATTTTCAGGAATAGGAACTTCCCACGCGCTTTCACTTCTCACCCACCTCGGTTGCTGGCTTACGAAGGAAGC